ACACATCCATACATACACACACACTGGGTGTTGTCACCCTAGGTTAGGAAGTGTGTTACTGGCAGGGTCATCAGGTGAAAGAAAAAGGAGAAACAAGTCTGAAAAGAGAAATCTAATGCCGCCATCACATCTAAGGAGTTGGGTTTAGATATTCTTTAATGATCTGAGTGTGGGGCAGCTATTTGGGGTTTTTAAGTTGAAGCAAAGGATCAGAAAGGTCTTACCTACAATGCCACCAGCATCAAACAAAGTGGACATGTCTCCTGCTGTTTTGGGATCAAAGTGAGCTAGAATACAAAGGAAACAAAACATTATAAGAAAACCAATACATCGTATTTCCTGATGGCATTTCATATGCAGATTTGTGCGCTCTCCCTCTAGCAGCTGCTTGTACATCAGAAATGCAGCCGGCATCCTTGTAAAAAAAGCCACCAAGACATTCCATTCTAATCCATCTCCTGGGATTTTACAGTTTGTAAGATGTCATTATTCATGGTACAAAGCGCTGATAAAATGGTCAGGAGCAATACATATTTTAAGGCTACTTAAAAGGAGAAGTATAGGGTCAGGGCTTTTCCCCATAGTTCTCCTTAGGGTAACGTGAGGACACAAACTAGCGTCCTCCCGTCACCCTAGGCTCAGTATATAGGGAGCTACAGCTCGCGGTATACTGAGACGCCGCAGCCGGAGCGGATCCCAACATCGATGTCGAGATCCGCCCAGCTGCGTGAGTGACAGCCGGCTCTGCCTATCTAGAGGCAGAGCCAGCTGTACCCGCCCCCTCCCCCGTCCGTTCCGCCAGTCAGCGCTGGCCGATCGGAGCGGGGAGGGGGAATCCAGCCCCTCCCCATGTCACGGCAGAGAGCCGTGACAGGATCGAGAGGTGAGCGAACGCCGATATATGTTCAAATAATTTGTTTCTATTTATTTTTTACTTTTTAATCACCTTTACATTTTTTTATTTAATATTATTTTTTTTTTTTTTTAATCAATTACATTTTTTTCCCCACCTAACTTTATTGCTATCACACAGGAGAAAACAATCCCCTGTGTGATAGCCCTCCAATAACACTACACGGGATCTTACCGACATTCGCTATATAGAGAGGGAGCCAGTAGAGGAAAGTGTAGCTGACAAGCTTTGCAAACAGCAGACACAGCGAGAATTCCACAACACCCTGAAAAGAAAAAAGGTTGCCTCGAATTAGATCAGAGAATGTAGAGAACCTCATAGATGGAACATAACTGACACATGCATTAAAAGGAGAACTATGGGGTCAGTGTTTTTCCCCATAGTTCTCCTAAAGGTCATGGGAGGACACAAACTAGCGTCCTCCCGTCACCCTAAGCTCAGTATATAGGGAGCTACAGCTCGCTGTATACCGAGACCGCGGCACCCGGGACGGATCCCGACATTACTGTCGAGATCCACCCAGCTGCGTGACTGACAGCTGGCTCTGCCTATCTAGAGCCAGCTGTAGCCGCCCCTCCCCCGTCCGTTCCTCCAGTCAGCGCTGGAGGATCGGAGCGGGGGGAATCCCTGCAGGGAGCCGTGAGCGTCAGTCACGGCTCTCTGCAGAGACATGATCGAGAAGTGAGCGAGCAACGGTATGTAATCGCTCACTTCCCAAACTATTGAGCCGACCTGTGACAGTCTCATTGTCACACGTCAGCTCGAACTATGAGGTTGAGTGAAAATCACTCCCCTCATAGTTCTCCTTTAAAGTAAGTTTCCCTTATTACTTGGTTGAGTCTCTGCAAGTCTTATCAGCCCCTGCCATGGCTCCTCGGTCATGTGATCAATGAGAATGAGTCTTTGCTCTGCGGGATTTCTGCTTCTCAGCTAGTTAGGAGGACACATTTCTCTCAGCAGCAGCAACACACAATATAAAAGTCTCCAACTCAGTGTAGGAGATAACAAAAAGATCAATAGATACATTATTTACCCGCCTTGGTCTGCAAGGGGGAGCAGGGGACAGAAACAGGTTTCTGAATAAGTAGAATTTCTACACATTCACAAATTTTAAAAAATACAAGGAGGGGGGTGAAAACTGCCTTATGATACGGGTGAAATGCATTAGAGGCATCCATTTAACCAATCACCAATTTTAATTTACAAATACAACGCTTCACTTGAGGTTCTCCTCAATGCTCCTCAGGAGTTTCCAGCCTGAGGAACCAGCACTCTGCCCTGTACCTCCAGGACCCGAGCAGCCAGGGAGCCCCACAAGGTCCCATCAATCGTTCACCAGAGAGAACCCTAAATCCTGTCCAGCACTGTTGCACCCCCAAAGATTTATTTAGATACGGGGTCCTTCTTACCGGGATCCTGAGCGCCCCACAGAAGCTGATGGCCTGCGGGTGTTCAGTCGTCTCTTGGGGATTCCCAGACTCCTCCAGGTCTGCTCCAGCTTGTGTCTTAAATATGTTCTCTGTGCTGCTGTTCATGACCTGGATGTTGTCCAGTTCGTCCTTCTCTTCATCCTACAATCAGAAAACATGACAATATGGGATATACGAGACTAGTGAGGTCATACATGTCTGTCATCCTAGAACCAATGGGAGTGTTCCCAGGCATTTCAGTGTATGATACAAAGTGACGACACGCAGATTCTACAGTGATAGTATTATAAGACTGGCCAGCTCCTCCGTAATGACAAAAAGATTAATATGCTCCCTGACAATATTTAACTTTGTTTTTAGAAGATCATTTAAGTTCTGAGGGAAAAAGAAACAAATGCTCATCAGTGCAATGCACAAATGGAGCACAATGCTGCAACCTTAAAGGCCATTCTTTACTCCATGATAGTCCACAGTAATTACCAACTGGGATCCAACATCAATTCCCAACTGCGATCTAACATCAATTCCCAAATGGGATCTAACATCAATTCCCAACTGGGGTCTAACATCAATTGCCAACTGGGGTCTAACATCAATTACCAACTGGGATCTAACATCAATTACCAACTGGGATCTAACATCAATTCCCAACTGGGATCTAACATCAATTCCCAACTGGGATCTAACATCAATTCCCAACTGGGATCTAACATACATTACCAACTGGGATCTAACATACATTACCAACTGGGATCTAACATACATTACCAACTGGGATCTAACATACATTACCAACTGGGATCTAACATACATTACCAACTGGGATCTAACATACATTACCAACTGGGATCTAACATACCTTACCAACTGGGATCTAACATCAATTACCAACTGGGATCTAACATCAATTCCCAACTGGGATCTAACATCAATTCCCAACTGGGATCTAACATCAATTCCCAACTGGGATCTAACATCAATTCCCAACTGGGATCTAAAATCAATTACCAACTGGGATCTAAAATCAATTACCAACTGGGATCTAACATCAACCATCTTGGTGTTGACGAGCACTTCTAATTTTGTCTAGAAAGCAGATTACTCAAAAGTGATGCTTCACAACTCTCTAAAGCCGGCCCATGATTCACCATTCGATAAATGGGAATAACAAAAGCTGTTCTCTTGTCATCATGCCAAATACTGATCAAAAAGATCCTTTGATGGAAGCTGCCATTCTCCATCACACATAGTGACATGGAACATGAGTTTCACTACTCTGGCACCTCTAGTGAAGTATGGAAGAAAGGGTTAGTTCAATAAGAGGCTTCTCAGAAAGGCATTTTGTACAATGACTGCATCTCATTATTTATATAACTTTTTACTCCAAAAAGGAACCCTTGAAATAATGTTCAGGTCTCAGGGAATCCCTGTCAAAACCAATTCTTTGGAGGTCAGTGGGGAAATATGCCCCTTACATTAGAGGCCAA